TATTGGAATATGTGCTTCAACCAACCCAATGCCAATCTGGGTAAAGTCAGAAATCTACATTTCAATTTGAATTATGATAAAAAATTTCAAATTTGTTAGACAGTTTCATCATAGTCTGCTACACAGGTGCATTAGGTTTTGAAGGAGTGGACACATCTACTTTAAACAACCAAGTGATTGATATGTACCTTCACAAGGATGCTCTGACTTTTACTTTCTTGCAGGATTGGAGTCAAAGCAATTTTAAGTACGGAATGAAGAGGTTTTTACTTAATGCTTTGGCTAAGCAATCCAAGGTTGACCCATTTAGCTTCTGTATTTCCTCCAAGTCTTCTGGAGTCACAGGCCAACAAAACCTAAAGCCTGAAAGATTCTGAAGAGAGAAAAGCTTTAAGTTATCAAAATATTAGCTTGAAATTGAAAGATTAAGTTTTTGTAATTAACTAACCAGGTATTTCAAGTATCTTGTCTTAAAGCTTAAAATAATGTGGTCTGCCAATGAATGTTTAAATGGAAGGTGAGCCGCAGGATGGAAAAGAGGTCTTCATTTCTGTGTGATTTTTCTGAAGTTGACTGCGACAACCACGACAGCTCACAACCCAGAACATTTGCCCAGAGCCTTTTCAAGATAATGCCTCCCACACACCAAAGAACAGAAGGAACACCTGCACAACAGAAGGTGGAAACAAGCTGCTATCATGTGTATAAGGTCTGGCTTTAAAATGGCTCTCATAAGCCACCAGGTAAGAGTACAGGCAATATTATTCCAGTGCGGAACAGCAGTGCTACCACATGCACTGCTAACACACAGCATACATACTTCTCCACCCCCATCTTCAAAAACACAGAGGCACTGAACAAGATACCCATGACATCAGTGGGAGTAAGTCTGTATTCTTCAACAAGCTTTAGATCTAATTGTATAAAGATTAAAAACAATTTCATGAAACTAAAGAAAAGAGTTAAAATATCTGTTCATTTTAATTTTATTTTCAAAGAGTTTCAGTCACAAAAATGATTTACAAGTCTATTTACAATTCTATTGTACAGTTATTTATGTATGCCTCTTGACAACAGGGTACCATTCTAGAGCAGCAATACATATTTTAACTACAAAGATGTAGTATCATTTCAGATCTAAAAATAAAAAGGAAGCTGAGCTTCTAGAGAGCACTGTAATGATGAACCTTTTAATTTGTGTTAGGCTTGAGGAATTCATGATAAACTGAGTAGTTTCTGCTTCACATAATTATCAAAGAAGCTGCAGTTTGTGGAAAATAGCTTTAAAAACTTGACGCTTTACTGTATAAAATCAACATATTCAAGACTCTAAAAATTGTCAAAACCCCACAGCTTTCCCTTAGACATACAAAACCCTAAGTTTACAATTCAGAATTTCATGGGAGAAATCCTACAGAACTTTAGCTCTCTCATTTTGTGATGACCAACATAAGCATTAAAAATTTGCAGCATAAAAAGGACTCCACATCTGCTTAGTATTATACTGTATACACATATACAGTACAGGATTATTTACCCAATTTGGGATGACTGTTCAGCACAACCTTCATGAAGAAAGAAAAAAATAAATAGAATTAAAAATCCAACAACTTTTTTAAAAGTGCAACAGTAAGAGTTTCCAATTTAAAGTTACAATGAATATGGACAGTCAGTTCTGTGGGTGTTTTAGCCGCTTCTACTCAAGCATTATTCGCAGCATTTTCTTTTTACAGTAGATTTAGTTCTATAGTACATGAAACAAGAGTTACTGCTAATTGAATCTGAAGGGAAGAGAAAAAAAAGAAAACCTTAAAAATAACCCTGAGGGATATACAATTTAATGATCTTGCAATTTATTCCTAAAAAATAACATGTATTATTTAGCAATTGCTTTTCTGGATAGACCAGTCCTTTAAGTATGTGCATAAATAATATTTAAAAATCAGTAATATTTACAAATCCTAATATATCAAAGTAAAATACGTACAGATTAAAGTCTGCATACACAAATAATTTAAGAATAAATCAAACTCCTCAACGTAAAGGCCAAAATATACAGCAGGAAGAAAATGTCTACCAAGTATCTAGTGGAGCTCACTAAATTGGTCTGCTCACTTGAATTCAGACTTCCAAGATGAACATTAGAAGAGATTCTTTTCACTACAAACTGAATTTCATCTTCCTTCAAAGCAGAAACTGAATACACTAGTGCAGATCTAGTTTGCTGCATTTCTGAAAACCAGAAAAACTAAACTGCTCAAAATGGGAAAAATTATAGGTGGCCAAACTCAGCTCTTGGGCAGGAAGGCATAAATCCCAATAATTGCAGAAGATGCAAAAGCTTATTTTGTGGCTGAACTTGCAACAACAAGGATTCTTAGAAAAGCTGATTTATTATTCTTGACTAAGCGTCAGAAGCAAATAGGTCAGAGCTCAAGCATGCAACCTCAAGAACATTTACTAACTCTGAATGCATACCTTGAGGAAACTAGCTCCCATTTGCAAAATATTCAAGTTTAATAGGCTTATGAACCATTAGTCACTCAATCAAGTGGAGACACTTGGCAATTTCAGTTTTAGTAAGAGTTCCCTAAAATGTTCTCCAAAGACAAGCCCACCCTAATAAGCTGTTTCCTCATCACTTTCTAGATAAGTCTAAAACCAGAATAAGATTGAAAGACTAGCTTCAGAAACCAAACAAGCTGAGGCAAATTATCAGTTTAGAGAAAGTATTAAGCAAAAGCATATAAAAGGGAAAAACAGAAATATTTTCTTTTACTTCTGATGGAACAATCAAGTTTAAATGGTCAATGAAATGGAAAGCAAAAGCTTTGGAAAGCAAAAGCTTATGCGTTTAAAGGTAAGTCACAGCTCCCAGGTCCAAGATGCATAGCTTCACAACATTTTTCAACTAAAATATTATTTTTCTTTAAATTTGAATACTACTTACGCAGCTAAGAATTATTCTTCATCAATTATTCCATGCTACAAAGATTTTGGAAAACCAACATTGACAGAAATTAGCCAGCTGACTCAAGTTCATGATTAATAAATTTATCCGAGTCCACAACTGCAGACCTCTTAAAAGCTACCGATGTTATTCGACGTTTATGACCTTAAGAAGCCAGGATAATAAGACTTTTACATTGCTCTGTTGAATGAATGCTAAGAAAACCACTTCCCCCTTCATCCTGCTCCATGCCTCAAAACCAAACAACAACCCCCACACCCCCACCCCCCCCAAAAAAAAAAAAAAATCAGGAAAAGAGTTGACAGCTGGACTGGAGGATAGTATACCATATGCATACTATTTATGAGGAGCAAGTACTAGTAACTTAAACCCACAAGTTCTAGGGAAAAGTCTTCCAAACCATTTAGCACCACTTTTAAATTCCCCATTGGCACACTATGTTCAACACTGCAGAAACCATAACATGAGCAGTGGGGGACACTGTCCATACTGCCTTACAGAATAGCACAAGGGAATTAGGCCCAACCTGAAAAATTCCCCTTATTAAACCAGTGCTGGAATGGAATTGCCTCCACAGGAGTTTAAAAAAATAAAACCACCAAACCACCGCCCCCCCGCCAAATAAAACCTCAAATTCCATCATCAGAATACACACACTTCAAAATGATCCCAGCTGGCCAAGGAGTCTGGGGCCCTCCTTCCATGACTACAGGACCTGACTTCCTTCTCTAAAGGATCTCTCCAGAACGTAACTTCTCCACATCCCAGACCCCCTCCCAAAGCTTGGAGGTGTCTGAACCAGTCAGCTGCATCTGGTCAAAACAGGTTGATCAAGAGTCAGTATTTTATCATCTTCCCAAAGACACCAAAGATTTTTCTGAAAGTTTAGCAAGTTGAAGATGGTTTGGAGATAAGTAATTTGTGGTTTAAGGGAAGGAAAAAAAAAAAAAAAAAAGAAAGAAAAGTGTTAAGCTTTGCATGTGAAAATGATGCCTGCCCCTACATCTTTGCAGACCTATTTTTCTAGTGGTCTTGTGTTTTGACACCGCCTAATGGCAAAATAATTTATCACTACCCCGAGTGCTTAAGCAGCATTACTAGTATGTAAGCTTTTCTTTTTTCTTTTTTTTCTTTTTTTTTTTAATAAATAAAATCCACATAAGCCTTATAGCTCTGCAGCAAGACAGATTTTAGCTCATCTATTTTCTCTTAATTTTGTTTCATACAGCTACATATAGTGCTTAAGACACTAGCAGACTCTTTGAAATGCATATGTTCTTAACATGCACAAATCCCAAGCGTGGGCATGTGAAAATATTCCTCCCTCCCACACCCATTTCCCTTGCAGCAGTAACTCTGACCTTACTACTTCAAGGTATATAGGAAAATTGTCTTAAGATTTAAAACAAAACATGGTCCACAAAGGGAAAATCCAACCCTTCTGCTGGGAAAAGCAAGGTCTGTGGAGAAATGTATAGCTAAATGTAATAAAACATGAGACAGAAGAAAGTGTTAAGATTCTCCAGCCTTCCTTCTCCAAAAACTTTAGCGTAGCCAAATGCCTCCCCCTCTGAAGGCCACCTAAGCCCTTCCTTGGGGTTAGCTAGAAAAGAAGCTAAGAACCCACTTGAAAGCAATGTGCTTTCTTCTTAAGGACAAAGCATATTGTTTCTATAGCATTCCCAATTCCTGCTATGGCAGACTAAAGAATTAAACTTAAAAACACTCCTTACTAGTAGGGACAAACTTAGAGGTACACACACCAAAACTTTAGAACCGTTCTGAGGCACAAAGCTTTTCAACAGTGAATATCAAAAGAAAAGAAAAAAAGCATGACAAGGTTATTATGTACCTCTAGTGCTACCATGAGACGATTACATCATAGGGTTTACATGAACACGTGCCCAGGTAAGCAGGTTAGAACAACAATTAAGATACTCCAGGCAAATAAAGTGAACCTGTTTTAACTGCCCTGCAGTTTAAACCTTCAAATACATCTCATTCAGGAATAACAAAATTTGAAAGAAGGTAGAAGGAAACAATCATTTTTTGTTCTGCCTAAGGTAACCTACATTTTTAAAATGTATAGCCATAAGATGTCTGGCTCTGAACTTTGTATTCAGAGAGACAAAACAGTTGGAAATATCTGCATTAGAATTTGACATTTAGTATACCGCAATTTCAAATAAAGCCTTAAAATTACATTCTTCTGAATACTACTGAAGACACATGCCACCAAGATCCGCTGTTACGTTACAGTGATGATTTGATATGAACCATTTTCTTGGGATGGTACTTTCGCTTCGGTTGTTGTTCTGGGTTTTGGTGGCCATTCTGGATCAACCAGCAGTTCCTGAGCTAGATGCATATACTTGGCTTTTGGTGTCTTCTCTCTACAGCCAAACAGGGAAGAAAGGAAACAGACTCCACAGCGATCTACAGCCTCCTGCAGAAGTGAACAGATTTGAAAACTGGATTACCATAAGAAAAAAATTAATATCGCTAACAATACAGTAAATCCCTAGAAGAAAAGCTATTATTTTAGTTTCTAATTTACTATTTCATTGTCACTTTGGACCTAGAAAGCATAGTACAGAAACTCTTCTGTTGTGTCACCTCTTCTATACTATGGTAGCAATGACATTTAAAAAACATGAAGAAAACCCAAGTATTCTGCATTATCATAACATCTAAGGTCACCAACAGCTTTTATGCATATTTTACAAGAGTTTCAATAAAAGGTATAACAGGCACCATTAAATGATGTTACTATTGAAAAATAAAAGCCTGGTCTAGAAAAAAGCAGTCAAATTCCCAGAGTCTCAAAACACTTTTTAAGCAATGAATTGTTTAACTGAAGGCAGCCAGCCAGCTGAAAATGGCAGAATTTCACTTGCTGATACTATGAAACCTAAGTCCTACAGGTATTAATAGTTATTAAAACAGACACAAATTATTGAACTTAAGTCTTCTTTCCTATTTTTCCTCTCCCAGTCCTAAACGTGTGTAACGTAACTAACTGGAGAAGAGAAACACCATTACTCATTCACAGGACTGGATCACCCTCATGTCTCAGAGAGCACCTATAGTCTGCAGGGCTGACATTTTAATGGAGATATATTCTGTGATTTTCTTCATGCTCTGAATTTCTATCAGCTGATGAACTGAACCAAACAGGAGCCTTAAGCACAACTTCCATTCTTCAGTGAACACAAAGCAATTTGTTCTTGAACAGCCTCAAAAGGACAAATGTAAATCTGAAGTGAATACATTGAATAAAATTTAGTGCTGAGAAATAATCAATTGTAATTCTAGCAAGAACAAATGTACAACCAACTAAAAGTTATAAGCCAACAGACTTAAAGAAAAAGCTAGATTTTATGGGATTCACATAGATTTCTTTCACATATTAATGACAGGAGGGGCAGACCAGACCAAGATTCATGGCCACCTGAAAAGCACCTAAGAAGCTAAATCCTTCAGTCTCCTAAACCATGTGAAGTAGTAGTAACGTACTTTCATTGCCATTTTGTTTCATTTCATTTGTACGTGCTATAAATTACTGCTCTCAGACAATGATCTAGAAGTCTAAATCAAATTAATTTAATAAAGAACTGGATTAGACCCAGCATCAGCAATTCTGCTTCCAAGCAAATCAAGACGTTCCCAGTTCTAGTATGCTAACTTGTGACAACACAAGTAAAATTTGCTAATGTGCAAACTGAAGACAAAGTGAGAAAAGTCTTAAAAGCAATCCTCTGGGTTTGCCTCGCAGTTCTTGTATAAAGAGCTAAATTCTTTAAGTGTCAACAAGGAGAAAAACATAAAACCAGAAGCTTTTCCTTTTAATATTCTAGTTACAGAAATCTAATTTAAGCAGTCTTAAGCTTAAAATAAGGCAACAGACACTTATAGATCATAAAAAGACAAAACCAAATTAATCTGCATGCACTCAAATGATGACAGCAAAATACTAGTCTCCAACCTGAGGCGGCTGGGGTATGGTGAGGCGATATTCTCCTTGTTTGTCTCGATTGAACACAACCTTCCAAAGGATCATATCAAGGAGGACATTCTGTGAGACATTGCAGTGAGCAGGAAGAATTAAAGAAACTAATGATCATTTGTTGTTAGTGTGCACATTACAAATAAAACCTGAAATAGTGTGTTAGGCATAATTAATTCAGTGCCAGGCAAAATGAAGAGTTCACAATACTTGTCACTACTTAAGTGATAAACAGTTTCATTCTTAAAGTGCTCACATGAGATTTAAGAATACGAACATGTACTTTAAATCAATAGCAACAATGACCAAAACTGCATCCACTGATACAGGTAAAAACCATAAATACACATTCTTAACTTGTTTCAATATTCTAAAAAACCTATGAAGCACTGCAGACATGAGTGCTTAAAGCAGTTTCCCCTCAAAACATCTTTAACATTATAGTGTACTTCATGCTGGAGCTACGCTTTGTTCGTGGTTTGTTTTAAACCAGTGACATTCCCAGAAAAGCTTCAGTGGGGTGGCAAAGCTGAGCTACCAGCAGGAAGTCTGAAGGAATTCTGTAGGAGCTGTTCCAGATTTTGGAGAAAAGGGCAGAAGTTGAACAGTATGTTCAGTACATCTGGTTATTCTCATACGGCTGTGTGGGTGGACTTGAGAGCCTTGAACAAATCCGGCAACACAGGTGTGAACCCATATCTTCCATGGCCTTGAGCCTACAACTCTGATCTTTGGACAGATTCCATTTCTAACATCTGACTAACCTCTGCCATTGAGAAAGAGGAGCTGATTAGCCAGACTTTTATAGTAGATTTTATAATGCTTATGATTTTATAATATCCCAGAATTTTATAGTGCTTTTATAAAGCATTTGCCAATAAATCTTCAGCTTGTTAGATGTTCATTTTTGAAGCCAGTCTGGCTTAAGTATGTCTATACCAGGCATCAGGGGTAAGGAGTAACATCTGCTAGGATCTGCCTTTGTTGTGCAATAATTTCTGTCGTCTGGTAGAAAGAATATGCATGCTTTGTGAACCTAGTCTGGCACCCAGATGGAAGGAGCAAAAGCTTTACACAGCATTTCAGAAAACATGTTTGGGACAACCACAGTCAGACACCATCCCTGTTGCAGAAACAATGAAGAAACTACGTATGATCGTAGTGTGACACAAAAGTGTCAAACTGGCAAGCATGACAAAAGAAGATAGTTTAAATCCCTCATGTAGCCCATCATTATGAGACACTTAAAGAGGCAATTACTGAGGGATTAGTCTCAGCAGAACAAACTCTAGGTAATACACATACAGAGTACTTTGTTAAAAGAAATAAGGAGATGCCACCAGCAGTTTTTCCTAGATACTCAGAATATGACCTGTGGTACCCAGTAACTCTGTAGTAAAAAGTGTAGTGAGCAGAAAATCCAGCCAGGCACACGAAGACAGAAAGGCAATGAGCTCTACTTGAAACGACGGAATGAAATAGCCTGCGATTCCTACACAACACACTGGACCCAATGAGTTGGCACCACAAGAAAAAGCTTCAGGGAGCCTACAGTAATACTGCTGGAGTTGGACAAATACAGTTCAAAAGGTGGGACAAAAGCAGGTTGAAATTATGGGAGATGAAGTGTGTGTTGTAAAACAAGGCTTGGGATTTGAGGATCACTAGACAATGGTTCCGTTGGACACCTGCTGTACAGTAAGACAACTTATCTCTCTGTCTAAACAAAGCATTCAACTAACAAAGCGGAAGAAATAGGTTTTAAGTCAAAGCAGAACGTCCCAAACAATTAATGTCAAGAAAACTAAATTCTATAGGTACTTCTATTCCACTACTAAAGTATGGGCAACAAGATAAATAGGAAAGTCTGTTTAAAAGGAATGTGACAAATCATCCTACCGGTTTTGGTAATGACAGTTGAGTGACTAAAGTGTTGAAAGATGCTAACTCAAAACTGCATAGGAAAAAGTGGGGTGGGGTTTAAAATACTGGGTGAAAACAAATGCTCTACAGTAATTATATTGCTTAGGTTATGCTTAGTAGAAACTCAGAAGTTTACAGATCGATGTGGCAACCAGCAAGGTCCAGGAGTGGAACCTTATGAACATTTAAACCAGAGCAGAACCATTTGTCCTCAAGAGGCACGTGCTGATATATGGATTGACATACTGTACAGACTTTCTACTGGAGCCCTTACACTTCCAGAACAGAAACATCACCAGATTGTATGCAAGTTAGAAAGATCACCTGCAGAACAAAGTAATTTTTCAGCAGAAGGTAAATTTATTTCTCTCAGGAACATTTATCACTGGACTGAAAATTGTAAGCACCACCTATTTACACTCCATGTATCAACACAAAGCTCGATTCCAAGGAATAATCTTAGTGCTTCAAAAAAGCTGATTTCCCAGAGATGGTAAAAAAACCATCAAAACTGACTAGAAACAGTAAACAGGAAAAAATATTTCTATCTAGGAGGTTTGTTTCAAATTTATCAGAAGACAAAAAAGCCATGATTATGCAGCTTCAGAATAACTATTTTGTTTCAGTAGCAAAGACAGCAATATACATAAAATTTAACTTTAACAAACAAAAAAGGATGCAAAAAAAGAAAACTATTAAAGAGTTTAGTAGTAAAAAAAAGGAAAGAAAGGGCATAAAGGAAAACATCACAAGCAGGGTTAGCATAAATACAGGACAATGTAAGAAAGGCACAGGATCTTTAAGAGAGGATAAACTTGTTAACAACAAGACAAAGGCCAAAAAATTCGTATCTACTGCCGTGTTTTCGAAAAGACAAGTTATGGCCTATCATGTGAAAACACTGAAAAACATGTTACAATAGGCAGCAACATAATAGCTTATACTGCAAATTCTGTTTGGAACAACATTTTGAACAAAGCCTTGATAATTTTGATTAAAGTATCAAAAAAACCCTTTGGTTGAATTTATTTTTACTAAGTCATGAATAAAAGCAAAAAAACTAGTCAACTGGGAAGAGTACTAATGCTGTAGTAATCTTCAAAGGCCAAAATGGTATGATCCAAGCAAACATTATGCTGGTTACCTTGATAGCAATCCCTCGTATAGTAATGGAAATACTGACTAGAAGCTGCAGAAAATGTTATACAGTAAAAACAGATAATTGTAGTGTGCAAGCGCTAGATAATGTTGAAAGGCTTTTTCATCTTGCAGTAAAAAAAAAAGTGACTAGTGGCTGCAACCAAAACCCAAATGTATTCAGATTGGAAATAAGGCATCGGTTTAACAAGAACTAACCACAGGAATAAATGACTGACTTTGAATCCAGACTCATTCTGGAAGATTTATCTGTCAAACTTCGATTCTTGGAAACAACGTAGGGGTACCTGGAGGAAAGGTAGGGCACGTTTCTGCCCACATTAACTCTGGAATTACAGCAGAAGAGGTCAACATCCAGAGTGACTGCCTTTGGACTAGCTCAGGGCTGGAAAAAAAAGATCTGCATGAACATTTCTACTTCTAGACTTGGATCGGATTAGATGAACAAGTTATGTAGACCTGCATTATTCTGAACAGTAAGCTATGCATATGATCCACCTGAATGAAGATGGGGTCCCCTAAGGATTTTATATAGTTCTTTACTATGTTATGGTATTCTGGACTGAATTAACACAGCAAATAAATATGGAGAATATTGCCCTATGAAATAGTTGAAATAATTTACAAGTCTTCCAACTTCCCCCCTCTTTTTTTAATTAATGAAAAAGAGTTTTAAAATTATGCTTTTAACACAGAAAACCTTGACACCTTAAATCTAGCCTACAAGGACATTTTTAGGAATACAAACTTAACAAGAAAACAGTGGCCACTTACACTGGCGTGCTGTGAAGAGAGACCTTCTAAACAAAAGACAAACATGTACCCTGAAAAAAAACCACTTAACAGACAAGCATTTTTTCCATTTGAATTTCTTACCTCCGTCAGCACGGATACAATTGCATTGAGAATAACAATGATGAGAATTCTTAGGCGCCACTCATATGGCACACACACGAGCTGTGAGAAAAAGTTGCCAGAGGTTAGCAACACATATGAAGTAAACACACTTTCAAAACAGGCTCAGAGTTATAAATTCTCCCCCTTCCCCCCACAAGATGCAAAGTTAAAGCTCTAAAGGGGTCAAGCTTGCCCAGAAGGCAGCCAATCAGTTATCCTAGGAAGTAGAGACACCTGCATATCTGCTGAATCTTACCTCAAGAAATGTGTCAATAGATTCAACAGGATGCAACATGATGAAAAATATGAAGACATAAAGAACTATCACAGATATAACGAACAGAACTGTAAAAGAAGAAAAATATTTTAATTGGACCATCTCACAATCAGAGTTTTAGACAGTTCTTCCATGTATCATGGGTTCATTACTCCCTGGAAATAACCTCTTTTTTCCCTCTAAACACCTTCCAGGCAGATTTTTGGTAATACAAGTTGTCCTGACAGCCATAAAGAGACAGAACGCCAGACTCAATTTCTCACTGACTCATTTGTGGAGCTGAAACGTATATACACATATACTTCTACAAACAAAGCAACTATTAACACAAATTTCTCCACACAGTTTAATACTTCCCTATTTCTACCTCTGATTATCAGAGGGTAATTGTATTATGTTCTCCTGGCAACACTATTACAATTCTGTTGTGCCACTCAGGCAGTAAGTGAACCACAGATAAACGAGTGCACAGTCACTTGGAGTTTTACTTAGAACTGTACATAGTAAGAAAGGACTTACAATTTTTGTAGCATGGTTGTCTAAAGGGCCTTCCTTTAGAAAAGACAATTGCCACTATGAGGTACTGAAAGCTGGATATAAAAAACAAAGTTGTGTTTTCATAATTTTTAATGTAATGTTCATCATGAAGAGTCTCATTCTCATGGGGTGCAGAGCTGTTGTTTGTGGCATCCAATACATTACATGCACTACAACACAAAAAAACCACTGAGTTAAGGAGAAGATGCAAACAAGGTCTACTTATTAACTAAAGTAATGACAGAACAAACTGCTACAGTGGTAAAAGCTTATCCTTGAAAACCTATTACAGGTAGTAATAAATAACTCAAAACTGCAATTTTTGTGAATTTTATGCTTCCAGTTCTTTTATGCTTCCAGCTTGTAAGTTCACTACATGAACTGTTTAGAAGCTATCACTGTAGATAAACTTCGAAGACAGGCAAGAAAATATTGCCATCTAAAAAAAGATTAAAACACCTCTTCATTTTCAGACATATGAATTTGATTCACTGGATCTCTAACAGGAAAACAAAACTTCATAACATAGATCAGTTAAAATGGGTCTGAACCATTAATTTCAAATTTCAACCTCCACTGTCTCAAAGTTGAGGAGTCTTCAGACCCTGCGCAGCCTGGCTCTGCCCCAGTTTTGCATTTCAGTCATTGGGTAACTCCTATGTATTAGTATGCTTTTCACAAAAACCTCAACAGATTAACAAGCTGCCATACAGAAGCTTTATTTACAAAGTCTCCAAAGGGGGTCAATAAAGAAGGAAGCAATTATTGCCTATAGCTTTCCAATCATTGCTATATCCTGCATGGAGCCACTGAAACACTTACTCAGATTCCGTTGTCCAAGGCTCATACCAGGACTGCTGTTTGACCCAAAAAAACCCAAACGTTTGGAAAGCAAGGCAGATGATGATCTGAGACAAAACGGAACACAGAAGTGGACCTGAGATAAGACCTGATGGAGGCCTTCGTGCAACAAGCTCCTTCCACGCAGGGTTCAGACTCACTGCAAAGAGAAAGAAAAACAAATTACACATTACATAATTATGGTTTTCAAGAGTTACTCTGTTCACATTCTGTGGGATTAGAATGGCTTGCTCATGACATCACTGTAAAAATTAGGCCAGAACTGCAAGTGTGAAACCACCTTGAAAAGATTATACCACACTAGAATAATGCCACAGTGCCTTCTACAGGCTGGTTACCCCCAGCAGCACAGGATAGCAGGGGACAATAATAGAAGCCATGAAACTTAAGGAATTAGTAATGTCTGGCCAAATTCCCATTGTCTGGCACAAGGACTTACAGCTCATTCCCTCAGTTTTGGTCTGCCATTGCTTCAAAGAAGCAGTCTCTCAAACTTTAAAATGGAATTCTACTGTTAGCCAGTAAACTGAGTTCTAGGTTCACATGTGGAATCAAATACTTCACTAGATAAAAGTTTTCAAGTATAACATTTTGTGGACAGAAGTGCAATTAAAAATACAAGAAATCAAAACATTTGAGAAAGATTGTATTGGAACAACTTGATTCCAAAAACAGTTTCCTCATGTCAGTAGAGATTTATGACTTCCTGTAATGTGAAGAACTACTTTTTCTAAGATCATGCCCACAACCTGCTTGTTGTATGAGGACATTTCACAAACTTCAGATGAATAACTTGGTACACAGTGGTTTGGTTGTTTTAATGCATATACTGTAGTAGGCGTAACATCTTAACCGTATGTCACAGTGCCTACTCCAAACAGCGTGTAATTAGATATTAAAGAAAATTTGACCAAGCAAAACCTGCTTCATAGAAGCCAGCAGCAGTAATTCAGCACAATACTTACTAGTGAAGACAACCACCAAAATGATTGCCAAATCAATGAAGAGAAACTGGAAATCTCCCAAATTGCTCAGGATCTAGACAGAAATCACAACTGAAACATCGGTAATTTCTTCACACCAAAAAACATCTTACAGTGACAGTCCCATGACATTAATTCTTTACATTTCACTAATAAACAAGACAGTCTCTTGTCAAACTGGCTTCCTTTATCTGCAGGAGTCTTGAGTACTCTACAATTCACAGATCAATTTCTGAAGTATGAAGGTATGAAATAATTACAGTTTCAACATGCATAAGCTATTTGCAATTGAAATTTGTTTGTAATCAAACTTATATTACTAAATCTTACAAACCAATGAAATAATAGCTTAGGCCCACAGTTCTATGAACACTATAACCTTACTATGTAGTCACACAGTTGTCAAAATTTCCACCTCAAAGGTCCTTTAATACTTTGCATGTTTAACTTGCTCAGAATACAAGTTAAAATACAGGATTTCTACCTCATGCCATACTGTGAATCCAATCACATTAACAGGAAATACTCCACTTGGCTTTTTTCCTCACTCCTAACTCAATACTTGCAAGCTGCTCTCTTTCAAGCCTTACGCAAAAGGAATGCACTGCCCTTTAAATAAAGTTAGGCTATTTTAAAATGCTGACAGTTTTTAAATAATTGAAAATTGTATTTTTGTTCAATTTATGTTTATTTGGACTTCCCACTGTAGAGACTTTCTATTCACAGGCATTAGTTCTTGCTTTTTTTCAATAGATATTACCATGTTTTTCATACAGTTAATAAATTTAAAAAAGGCAAAAAATAGTAACACTACTTGTAGTCCAATGATAGTTTTTAGAATGCAGGTGTTGTGTACTCAAAGAGACTTGCAACAATTTATATTAAATATCTACCAATTTTCAAATCTCTGGATTACATTGGCCCTGCTTAAGCACTTACAGAATACTTACAGAATATAGCAGAGTAACACTGATGTACTGGATAATGCTGTATAATGCCATGAACTTAAATACACAGAAGGAAGTTATTAAAGCAGCACGGCCTTCCCTGTGAAAACAAATGCAATCACGTAACTAGAAAGCTTTCTGTGCAAGCAGTTAAATTCTGCCTAGCAAAACTTAGCTGCAACTAAACACATCACCAAACTCTTTGAGGGACATTAGACTGAAGACAAACCAAGAAAAGACAGTCAGAATGGTACACTTTCAAGTACAAAGTTGTGAGCATGCCTTCTGAACCGAGCCACCACCTTACCTCTGTGTTCTTTGGACTTCACACAGTTTTCCAACAGAGGTTTTAAAATGAAGGTCTGCTTGCAAAAGCATCTATGAAGCACTAGTTTACTACACAGATTGAATGAACATGCAGTCAGCCACAGAGCTGCTGACTTTAGAAATGTTTCTGATTACACATTACTTCATTAGTTCCACACAGACTTAAGTAGGTTCTTCTCTGACTGACCTTTATCCAAAATTATTACCTACCTTCCAATTCTAGAATCAAAAATTGGTCAAACCCTATTTAGAAAATTTATTTTCTACTTTGTATGGCGCTGAGCAGTCATCTGAAGAATTTTACTGCTTGCAATTACATACAGCCTTTATGGAAACTAGCACAGTCACTAAGATATCAAATTAAATACTAATGTGTAGAAGCTCGCTCATGCTCTAAAAATTAACTTTATGTGGACAAAAGGGTTTTTTAAAAAATACCAAACCATGCTATGGCAAGCTTATGCTCAGAATACCTTCAGTAAAGAAACAGAACTACTAAAAATGTATGGCTTGTTCTTTAATTCAAACTGGCCTCCTACAGCTTCAAACATATACTAATAGAGGGTATGCAAAACAAGTTACCTGGACACATTGAAGTTCAAACTAAGCAGCATTACCTGATCAGCTTTGGCACGCAGGAAATACTAGGTGTCCTGGAAGTGAATGGTGATGCCACAGAAGCCTCAAGTTCAGACAAAGATATACCACCATGTGCCCTCTTTAGCGCCTGCCAGTTAATATTGAAATAGAGAACATTTTAAACTTGCTTTCAGCTGTAAAATTTAACTGAGCAGTTCTGTATGGAAAATAAAAATATACTTACGCCACAGTCATTTGCTCCATCTCCACACATGCCCACATAGTAACTATAAAAACCAAACAGATGTCAGCATTCTGGACTATTCCCTAATCATAGTCCATTTAGCTTATTACATTAAATACTTCTGTGTTATTTGACTTATTCGGGGTTTGCATAATAATGAGTGATTTTTTACTGCTGAAAGCAATTACTGTTGCCATTATACATGTAAGGAAGTAGACAGAAAAGTAGTATGACTTAGCCAGGTCAATCAAACCAATAATGATTATCAGCCCTCTATCATTCCAAGGTGGTCTAAAGCATTTTTCCTCTAGGCAAAGAGACTTTCGTAGTATTTTGTATAGCTGCAAGGCCTGACACCAACAGACAGTAGTATACTGACCATATGTGAACGGAAGTCATTCTGTTAATAGTTCTTTAATAAACAGAAGACATTTGATGGATTTGTTTATTAAGCCAAGCAACCACATTTATAACATGTTAGTCAGTTTAGTTATCGATAATTTATAACTTCATGAAAAGTCTGAAACTTTCACAACTAGCCACCAGATGGTACTACTCTCATTCCTGCTCAGCTAATAGGCTGATTTACCAACTCAAGGAAGTTATATTAGCCCAGCCTTTTTCATTTGGCAAAATAGCTAGCAGCATACATAATTTTTTCCTCCTATCACATCAAACACTCTGTCAACCCTCCCGCTTTCTATGCTTAAGCAAATACTTACTCTACATTTTGTAAAGCTTCCACCAACTGAGTTTTCTGATCAGGCGCCATGCGAGCAAACACAGTGCCATGTAACACAAGCTGGAAGACAGAAGATTTCTTAATGGTCACAGGGCAAAGTCTGTTCCCCATCAAAAGTGCCCATACTCAAGTAAAATGCTCACCTTGGGTACCAGGTCCTGAAAATGCTCCAAAATCACTGCAAATGACTTTCCATTCATTGCAAAATGGTATTTGGTCATCTGGAGATCCTCAAGGCTTTCATGGACCAATTTAACTGGAATATCCTATCAAAAGGAGTTAATGTTCTAGCTGTAGTGTATTTGCACAGATAGCTTGTAATTTCAAGCTAATACTCAGAGGGGTATTCCTAGAGATCCCACACTAGAGGAGGTTTCTAAGAATGTTACTTGAAAGAAAACTTCATACAATGAAAACACTTATTTAGTAAAAAGAAAATGTGGTTTAATGTTTCAACTGCAAGCAGCTAGAGCAGTCTTAACAGAATGAAACGTGGGAAAAAAAAAACCCACAACCTGTCTCCTGCACAACTAATGTCAAATGTCATTATCACGGTTGAAAAACTAGCTCCCCCAGCTGTTTTACTACTCTGGTATTTTAAGATCTGAAAGTTAACTAGTACATCAATTTTGATTTGACACTTAACAGCAGATTTGTTATTTAACAGAGTAAGATAAAAAGAAAGAAACTAACTCAACAGTGAAACTAACTGCTTACACTCTAAGGGCATAATAATGCTCATAGTACCTCTGAGTTTATGGCTGGTGATGAACTAGTGCATTTTGCTAAGGTATCTGCATAATGCCAGTTGATCCTGGCAGCCTGCCCATCCTTTGGAGGTAGTGCTTCAGCAACAATGACCTTATCCTGAGGTAGAATCATTCCACAGTCTCTGGCCACAGAGATAGCAGTTAACATGTTATCCCCTGTTAAACAATTGCATTTAAAAAGGTTTCAGTTAGAAAAGAATCAATACCATATACTGATATTCCACATAAGAGAAAAGCTAACAAAGACAGTTTTAAACTAGGAAGAGGACTGCCCAACATACCAGTGACAACCTTAGGGCAAACCAAGCCTACAGACAAAACTCCAAAAGCCTAGCCCGTTAAACTCCCCCCCTGCACTAACATCACTAGAAACTTTGTATGCTTCTTTCAGCCATAAAGATCTCTTATTGACCAAATTTTAGTATACATTGAAAAACAAGCAGAAAACACACAGCCATTTAAAATACCACTTTTTAAACACAGTCACAGAACATGTGAACATGAGTTGTATTGCTAGCATATCAAAACATTATTCCAACATTGCAATACCTACGATTTAAAAAGCACACACACACACATATTGCATGGAAAACACTGAGCACAGACACGTGTCCCGCTTATGGGGACAGAAGTCATTCTTACAAAAAAACACCCAATACAAAGTGACTTATCATAATATAATGCAAAATGGTAGGGACCCTTAGGAGGTCATCTAGTCCAACCTCCCGCTCAAAGCAGGGTCAGTCATAAGACTAGAACAGGACTTTCACCTAGTCTGATTTGGAAGACCTCTAAGGTTTTTCATCCTTCAATTCATTAGAAAGTAACTTGTGCATGAAGCTAGGAAGAAGAAGCTACAAAGTAGAATTAATACCTATACTGGTTTATGATCTCTGACTTAGCAAAGCAACCGTCATCCAAAAAGAAACAGATTGGTGTCTGAATAGTCTCACAATAGTTTCTAAACTTCCCTCTTGCTATAAATACAGTGTAATCCCAGCCTATTGACACTAAAATTTGACTTCATAAACTATAATTAAAATAAGACCAAAAAAGAGATGGATTTTTGTCTTTTGGTTATGAATGTTTACATGCTAACCTGTAACCATGACGGTGCGAATGTTGGCTTTATGCAAATCTTCAAGTACAGCAGGGGTTTCTTGCTTCAGCTTGTTTTGCATGATAATTAACCCCATAAAATCCATGTTGCTTTCAATAGCATCTCTATAGAAAAGGAGGCAAGGAAGAGAACATTAGAATTACAATTATTAGGTGCAGCTTAAAGAGCCTGGTTTTCTGTTTATCAAAGTAAAGGGAAATTTTTATTTCTAACCATGAAAAGTGAAGTATTTACTTCATAAAGTGACCGGAGAGATATCATTATTCACAATCATTTATACTTATTCCCCTTGTTTTATAGTTGAAAAAGAGTATTGAGAAAACATTGTTTCCTCTCAAGCACAATTTTTAGTTTCTTTCACGAGAACTCTTTCTAAAAGAGATTACATCCTCAAAAAGGTTACTGCTAGAAAAAATGCTCTGAAGCTAACTGCATTCACAGCCAAATTTTAAGATTTGTTTAGAATGCATATCTCTAATTTCCAAATTAGCTGAACCTTAACATACAAGCTACCAAATTATGTTACCAAGGCTAGTAAGATCAATAGACATTAGCTAATTAAGTAAAGCAACCAATTAACTTTGGTTTACATGAAAGTCAGTGTATTTACAGGTCTTGGGTATTTTACTGCTACATAGATTTTCACACCCCAAATTGGAAAAGCCATTTCTCTGCTTTGTACTGCTTTGCAAAAAGTTCATCTTGTACACAGAGCTGATACAAAAGAACAGAGTCAAAGCTTGCATTTTCATAGTGATGCTACACTTTCAAACACTATGGAAAAGACAGCATTATCCACAAGACTAGGACCAGCTGAAAAATAATTAACAGGAAATACTACTCTTTGAAGGAAGAAATGTTTCTACCTTCCAAGCCTTTCCGACACGCTTTGCAATGAGAAAATGGACATGCTGCCTATAGCAGATGAACAAACTCAATCAAACGTGCACAGGAGGGTTTCTACTACACACTATTATCTTTAATAAACACAGATGACATAAGTATGTTCAAGTAACAGAAATCAAATGAGGTTTTCTGCCACGTTAACAAAAATTAAACACCACAAAAAATTAGTATTACAGTTCATTTCAAACTTAAAGATGTTACTCAGAATTCACATTATTGCAGAAAAACTTCCTTAAGTTTCTATGTATTGTCCAGGGTACAAATAAAGAATGCACAGAACTACATATGTCAAGACAGAATAAAGCTAAAGATGAGTAGCCATTGATTTAAACAATAATAAACATTATATAATTAATCCAAAGCATACCGCTTTTAAAGCCTGTTACTTATTAAAAAGTGAAGTCACTCTTACCTATTAATAGTCTGGACTTTGTGCCACGTAAGTTTAGACTCCAGTTTTCTGTGAGCAAGAGCAATAACTCGGAAGCCCTGCTTCGTGTATTCTTCCAGGACACACTCAAAGTCAACAGGAACTTTAAAAAGGTCAAGTTTAGAGTTATTAAAATTATTCATGCCCCAGCTCAGCTACACAAGAAATAAAAATAATTTGTTCCTTTACCTGTTTCCTGCTTACACAAGCTGGCAATCACTTCAGGGGCACCTTTCATGTAAGCATCCATTCTCTTCTCCCCTAGAACTCTCGCTATTACACACATACGTTGCAAAACTGAAGAAAATGGAAACTGACGCACAATTCCAATCTCATAACTGGTCTGTGTCATACAGGAAGGAAGGAAGAAAAGGGTTACATCCACATACATTCTAAGAAAAGAGGTACATGTTTAATCGAAAAAGCATACTTACCGAAAGCTCAAACAACTCCTAAAAAAAAAAAAAGAAAAAATACATTTACGGTAAATATTAATTTTTAAGTATTTTTTCAGCTACGAACTATTTCAACATAAATCAGTAAATTAATCTACACAGCACTCTCAATATAAAGTCACATATATTTGCAATGGATTTCATAAAAGCTGAATATGAATATACTACATCTGTTTAAAATCCTTTAAGTGAGACATAACAAAACTTCAGAGCTTGATTTCTTGATTAGAATTTGCAAGACCTTTCACAGTCCAGCCCATCTGTTTAGCCTATGTAAATGATTAACCTACTATGGTATTTCAGAATGAGGCCATGATTATTACATATATCTCCAAAAAATCATGTAATAAGTTTCAAGAATGTTCACATCAACTACTGCACAGTTTGCTGCTGTGCCTGTACAGAGTTCTGAACACAAAAAAAAGACGCTTCTATCTACCACAGAATAAGACTCAGAGAGGAACCAACTTGTTGTACCCTCCCATTACCCTGTTCTGTGATAATCTGGATATACAGTCACATGCTTAAAATTTCCCCTCCTGAAGTATTCAAGAATACTTCAAAATGCAGATAGAAAAAAAAAATTAAATCTGCCATGTACATTTTATTTTTAACTTGGCACTTAAAGCATACATCTCGAAGGTATGATGGTGGCAAGAATTCAGTGCCGCACAGTGACATTAACAAAAAATTGTTTTAACTGAAACTGCAAGGTGAACACACCTAAGCAATTCATTAGCACCATAAGAATTTGGTAATGATACTAATATTAAAATGTGTAAACTCAAAAAGCATTGCAGCACTTTATAACCAGTCCGTAAGGGTAATAATCAGTCTGCTCACCTTGAAAGTGGCATACACTGAACCACTACCTTCAACAACAGTTCAAACATGTCTTCTCTACCTTTGTCATCAAAAACCACACAGTTTTGATCCTGTTTGAATTATATCAGCCTGAACCATAGCATGCGATAAAATGTATTTGTTTAACATGAAGGATTACTTTAACTCAAAGAATTGTTTTGAATTTTTATACCATTTCTTGATTTGTTGCTTGCTTGGATTCTGGTAAAAGTTGTTTTGAAGGTCGAACCACTGTCGGCATGATTCGATTATGAAGGGCTGTTTCCTCTTCAGTTGCTTCTTCTAAAATCTGTATTAAAAATAATCAACTAATTTATACATTCATTATCTTTGATATTCTCGTAATGTAATTTTCAGGGAAAAAAACAGGCTTGGAAGTCAGCCCAAGGTGCAATGATCTTTTAAATAAAATTTCCTGTGAGAATTAAGTGTCTTAATTTAGCAGTTAATTTAAGATCCACTTATTTTACATGTTTATAATATGCATTGAAACTTTGCCACACACATCAGAAAGCAGTAAATTATCTCTTCAGATTCTTTCAGTTCTATGAATCGCTGCACAGAACACATTTTAGGAACATTTTCTTATTAAGACTTTCTTTGACACAGAGGCATTGTCAAAAGCCCACCACTTTACAGTTGCAGCTTGAAACAGCATATAATGGTTTATCTTGTATGTAACAGAGTAGGAAATTTCAGATTACTAATCTTAAAAAAGTTGCTTCTCTTGAAACAAGCAGACACTTACCCATCCTATTGCTTCAAACATCTTCAAATCAAGCGGATCCCCAGAAAGTACCCCTTCAATTTTTGTAAGGGAATGACAAGTTGCCATGCAAGCAACAAACTCAGACTTCAGCAAGCTCTCACTGCAAGCCCTCTCTTCCGGCAAAAGGAAACTAAAACAATGAAGTAATAATATACTTAGCACTATAATTATTTATTATGAGCCAATTCAAAAGGTTTGTTTAGATTAACAGAAGAAAATTGACTGCACAAGTCTCTTGTATTTTCACACATCACAGAAAACAGATTAAGACTCTGGGCTGAAATCTTCAGAAGCAGTCACAACTTCTGTCTCCTTCAAAAACTGTGTTAATTCACTGTCTACTTTCATTCCTCATACAGAGGCCTCTTATCACTTTGTACTTAACAAAATTAGCTAAGCTAATTCATTTTAGCAGCCCAAGAAGTCACTTAGGAGGACAGGATTAAGGAAACATGCTATTCTTTAACTGCATCATTTCTGCAGTATGAACCTAATGAGTCTCAGACTTTAACACATTAAATGCCACCTCAGCCTCATAAGATGGTTATAACTTTCACTACACCTAAACCGTATTTTCAGTTGCATTCTTACAGCTCATTACAGAAATGCAAACATATATGAGCTCACATTGAATTTTCTGTTCTATTCTGCTGAAGCTGTTAAAGCACAACAAAGTATCATATTTGCTATCAGCTCTGAGCTTATCCTTACCGAGCATTTTCCACCCGCTGAATTCCCCAAAGATCCAAACCATCCTCAGTAAGTGTGCCAGTCTGCAAAATAAACCAAGGGGCATGGCAAGAAGAAAAAGCTTTCAGAAAGAAGTTACCCTCAGGTAAAGCAAAAATTAACAGCTAATTAATCAAATTACACTTGAACAATATATTTTATTTTGTTTTCACTTAAAAATCAAGACTTCAGGACAGGAAATACAGTATCTCCCTTGCTTTTTGCTAGTAACTAAGTTCCAACCCTGTAAAATAACTTTAAAAACCATTCAAAGCAATCATGCCCCTCCTTGGAGACAGGACAAACAAAACAGACCCTTAAAATCCAAAGATGATAGCTCAACATCTCTATACTCAGGGGATGAGGGCAACAGAAAATAGGTACGAAACCCTTAGTGCTACTTTCTTACATAGTTAAAACAGTAACCGGAATATATTTACAAGGGAAATAATAAATTTAGTGTGGGTACTTAAGATTTTAGATAAAAACCTAAGGAGGAAAATAAATTTTATCTAAGAATTAGCTAAAAGCAAAGGATTCTGGCTAGTGGCATTACTGTCTTTCACTCATGTTTCTGTTAAGGAATAATAACAAAATATGCTGATTTGGCTTTTCATTGAAATAAATTAAAATAAGAAACAAGTCTGACCTCACACTTCAATTTTCCAGAAGTCTGTGTACTAAATAAAACTCTTAATAGACCCCAACTCTCACACTTCTGGGGTGCCAGTAGTAAGTTAGGACTTGGGAGTCTTGAGATAAGAAAGCAGCTCTGGAATATAACAACTTTTTATAGAAGACTAAATTAAGTGACTTAACAGGTGGTAAATACCGAATACCTGGAAGCTAACAGCACAAAAATGATCTAACTTATATGAAAGTGATGAATTTTCCTGTAGTTGCTAGTCTATACAAATTCCCATTTAAAATACAATGCCTCTCCAGGTGGCAACACGAAGTTTCAAAATTCACCTAACCTTATCAAAACACACAAGATTCAGCTGGCCACAAATATTTATCCTTTGTGGGCTGATGCAGAAAATGCCAATTTTTTTCAGCCTTCTTTGTGCATAAACAATGCCAGCAGTCATGGCAGCAGGAAGCGCTGGAGGCACTGTGATAGTGATAATGTCAAGAGACTCTATGATGATGGTATGAGCTGGAACCTGCAATAAAGGTCAGAGTTAACAAACAAGAACTCACCACTTAAAAGATTCACTATCCCACTGAAACATCACATTGCTGTTACCAAAAGCAAAATCCACACATTGTTTTCCCCAGTACAGCATGTTCTGGATTGCCCAGAAACCTAGCTCAATCTTCACCCACCATCAGCAACCATGAGAATCCACTCCTAAATTATCCACAACCCGTAACTTCAAGTTTTCACTTTTTCTCCTGCAAATATATTCCTTTAAAACAGTAACTGAATAATGCAAATTTTTTTGAAAGAAAAAAATTAGTTATCAGGTTATCAGTTATCAGTTTCTTGGTAAGGATTTTTTCGCCTGCAGCCATGCTTTAGATGTGCTGTGTCCTTTTTCTTTCAACTGGATATCAGTCAGACAGTAATCTTACATATAAAGTCTACTAATTGGGTCAACAGAAATTGAGGTAAACTCAAATTTCACTGTAATATAGCCAAATTCTGCTTCTCTGCTGAATTTTGTTCTCAGTAAGCTTCAGTCTCTCGTTCCATTGATACAAACTGAAGCAAAGAAATTTTCACTTAAAATTGAATTGTTTCTCATCATCTGAAGTGTGTTGGAAATAATGATCAACCCTCTTCTAAAATAAGGCAGTTCTGGACCAGAAATTAAAACATACCTCATTTAAGATGCTATTGACAACTGTGTAAAGAAACCCAATGCCCGCCACCACTACCAGAGACAGGAGAAACAAATAGGCATCTCTGTAGAGTTTAAAATCAGTTGGCTTTGGATATAGTATGGAACGAACAAGCTGTCCTTTAGCAGTACTAAAGCCTAGAAATAAAAAGAAGTTATTAAAAGCACAGACAAGAGCAAAGCTATTCAAATATATTAAAAACCCCAATGACACTCTTAAGCTACTCATTTCATTAAGACTGTTTCTCAGTATACAGTAACAGATGTTTTGCAATACTGTAATTAAGGTGCTTCAAATATGTATGTGCACATCATACTAAGTGCTTCTGTCCTATGGCAAGGACATGCAGCTGATGCAAATGAACCCCTCTCTTACAGCAGCAGGTTTGACCTGGAAGAAATTGTTGTACTGCATTTTGTCCCCCACGGTGCAGAGCTAGTGGGTAGATTTATTAGTTGTCTAATTAAGCCAGTCCTTGCAAAAAGAAAATGAAGTTATTCATAGAGTCCAACCTTAAGTACTTAAAAGGCAAATCTCTGTAATGTGGTGCTCAGAGTCTTTTGGATAAACCCACCTCTTGATCGCATTTTGACATACACAGTAATATATCCATGAACTGAGTTTCAGGAACAAATAAAAAGAATACATTTAGTTGATTGGTATTTTATGTATATTTCAGCTGTATAATCAAACATTTCATGTTAAAGGCTTAACTGTGAGTACAGTCCCAGCAGATCAATCTTATAACCTGATTTAGGACAAGATTAAGACTACATGTCTTTGCACACAACCACATGGAGTTCTGCTCTCCTAAAATTCTTTTAAGGACTAAATTTTCTAGCATCTTCAATTTTGTGGCATCCCCCTCCCTCAGAGAAAGGGATTTTTACTTGTATCCTACTAGGTAAGAATTACTTCCATTCTTACTATCAGACATCTTAGGAGTGAGAAGCTACAAGCGCTGTGACATCTGTCCAGTGCTGTGGAGTGGGAAATTCCCTACTTGCCTAAAAGCCATCCCTGTAAACCAGACAGGAGAACAGAGAGGATTTTATATCCCTTTGCTCCTCTCTTTATATATAGTCATAGCAGGAAAAGTGTACTTGTCCATATGTAAAATCTTGAACAAGGTCCACAGAGCTAAATTCATCCTGTTAACAACATAGGATGACCTGTCATGGGCAAAGAGAAGATTTAAAAAATGACTTCACATGTCGGGGCAGTAAGGCTCAGTGTGTTGGAAGCAATTACAATTCTCCTTGTAAGAGTTCCAGACCATGGTTTCAGGCTTTAAAAAAAAAAACAACCAACATTATCCTTCCCACAGAATAGAAGAAGTAAGTCTTCAGCAGTTCATTTCTGTTGCTGTTTTGGACCACCTATCTGTATATACACATCAGGCTGGGCACATAAAATTTCTTATTTAAGAAACAAAAGAAGTTGAGATGGATATTATTAAAGGGAAGATGTGTTCCAGGGAAAGGAAATATTTTTCTTTGAAAAACAGACTAATAAAAGCCTCCAGAAAGACATTAATGAACTTAATAAAAAAAAATCAGAGCATTTACAGCTAAAACAGACTAACAGAAGGTGAAGAGAAGACACCAGAGAAAGAAGAGGCTAATTAGGTTGAAGTTACTTGTTGGAAAACTTGCTTTAAATAGTATTCTAGTCAATGTAGTCAAATTTATTCTATCCAATACTATTGTAGCTTGGATTATAGCTTACATTCATTTATTTTGTGGTGGTTTTCTTCAGATCATCTTTGTAAAGCAGAATCCCACAACTACGTTAGTCTGTGCAATAGTTTTTAATAGAACACCTGTGTTATCTAAAACCAAACCTTTAAAATATTAGTATGAATAAACACTTCTGTAGAAAAGGCTAGGTCAAACACATTTTTTTAAGCAAATGTTATGTGCTTTGACAAAACTATGGGCAAAGAAAAACATCTGACATTGCCAATGACTCCACTAAAATAAGCTGTTCCCTGCTACCCAACCAATCCGATGGTATGACAAACCTTTTCAAAGAGGCATATGTAGTTGAACCAACACACCATAAAAGAAATCTAAAATACCTGAAAATGCATTCAGGTAAGTTTTAAATTGATGCTAAAGACTGATTCACTTTCTTGCTTGCCAACTGATACTTTCCAGGCCACCACCTAGCTCTATTATTGTTGTACAACATTTATCAAATTATTTCAGGTATACACGTTTATCCAAGCTTAGCAACATTCAATACAATACTCCAAAGTATCAGTTGACATACACCTACAAAAGCAAGTAGTACATTAACAAGTGATAAACTCAACAATCAATACCTGTTCTCAGTACTAGAGCTTTGACCAATTCTCCAGTATAAAAACGGGTTTGAATGACATTGGTTCCACAGAACAAAGTATGCCGTTTATGCACTTCTGGACTGTATATTTCGTCTCCCATTGCTTTCGGATATTCTGAAGGATTTGGTAGATTAATCTTTGTGACAGGAACACTTTCACCTTAAATGGAAAAAGAGTCTCTAAGCAAGATCAAATAAGAATAGACATTTTTTTCCTTCACGACTTCAAGTAGAACAATATAATCTCACTTCATCAGCACAGAAGCAGGCTTATAGAAGAAGTCATCTTCCTTTCAGCACGTTATTAGGTAGTCTCTCACCCATCAGCCTCAGCTCATCAGATTCCTTATCCAAATCCTATTTAACTCTATTTGTTATTCACCAATACAGCTTTTGTGCCTCTTACTTCAAATCAGATAGGTGTTCATTGAAATACAGTTCATTGAAAGAAAACAGGACAAGCTTCTTTCTCCTGATCCAAAGCATCACCCCATCTTTACTCAGAAAAACTAGGAGCTGAAGAAATTTATTCTCAGCTCCTTTGGTGACCAAGTACACTCAAGCTAGGATTGCAATCAATTTTTATCAGTTGCTAGCAGCAGCAAGGGGCTCAAGTATATTCAAAGAATTGAACATGATAAAACACACAATCTCTGAACTACAATATTCTAAACGCTGCCAGTTTGGACAGATTATGCCAGGAATAACAAAAAATCCATCCTACTCACTGAAGCTGTCCTTCAAATACATCAGGTCCCTGGTTTCAGAGTACGCAGGCACAACTGGAGATAATTTCTGTTTTTAAATACAGCAGAACATTCTACTTACTACCTTCATTCTTGGAAGCAGCTAAAAAGTTTGGGCAAAAATTTTCTGAAGAAACACACTGCAGAACTCAATCTGCACTGAGAACACAAAGTCAAGAGGCAGGAAGACAAACTATCAAGAAGAAAGCTTTTCAACAAAAAACCATCACTCATTTTTGGAGATGCCAAGCAGTACCAGGTAGCTGTTGCAGATAACCAGAACACAAGTACCTAAGTACTTAGGAGCATATATAATTGCAAGAACATACACATTTCAAGCAAAATAAACATATCCACTTCTGCTAGAACATACTGCCAAGTTAAGCATGCACACAGGTATAACCTAATAGGTTTAGCCACACAAAATGGTATCACGTTTACTTTACCTGTTAACATACTTTCATTTACAATGCAAGTACCACTGAGAAGTACTGCATCACAGGGCATAATTGTCCCATTAGATGGAATCAACATGATATCTCCAGGCACAAGGTCAGTGGAAAGGATTTCTTCTATTTCTGAATATTAAAACACAAACAAGTTCACCTGAAAATAGCCACCATCTACAAAACCTGATAAAGATCCTCACGGCCAAGGTCCAGATGGTGACAATTAAGCTTATACTCTATTTTATTAATGGCATTATGAAAAGTTTTTGAAAAGATACAGAAAAAGCCATTGAGAAACCCAATTCCATCACAGATTATACTCTAGAACACATGGATATAGTTCATCATAACAAATGAAAGGAGTCAAGCTTGTACAAAAGCTATTAACAATTAACTACAGTATAACTTCAGTATAAAGACACAAGTCCAACACAAATGCATGTCTTGCAAAACCTAACCAACTTCAGCTACTGTGGTATCAAAATGGGCAAAAATCCAGAAATCAATTTGCAGCCCCTGCTGGGTAATAAATTGTAATGGAAACCCAACACATGCATGTCTGGAAGCCAAAAAAGAAACTACAATGACAGTTACATATGTGGAGTAGTAGATAATGAGAAACAGGAATAAGACAAGCACAAAATCTAGGAAAAAAACTGATACTCGCTAAAAACACCATCTAGAAGGGTAATCGTGAACAGATTATTATCCTATCTAAATTCTACTTTGCAACTTCTTTTTCCCATGCAATTTTGCAAAGTAACGGAAGCATTTCAAGGTGATCACAGAAAGAACAGATGCACACCAACTTTACACTCACACTTAATGAACAATTTAAACTCAACCTTCCGAACCCCCTGTGAAATTTACCTTGGTTTCCTCTGCAGACAGAAACCCTGACAATGCTGTGAGCTGCTACCATGTCATGTAACATAACATATTGCTGCAAAGGGGAGAAAACAGTTCATTATTTAAAAGCACAGGTTGTCTTCTTCTAAATGCACGCTCTATCTCTACAAGTAGAAGTGATGAGATTCTTTACTAACATTCTTTTACAACAAAATGTTACTCAAAACATTCTCTTGAACATAGTTTAGGAAACCTATGGGCAAATAAAGCTAGAGTGCATCAACCTGTACAGGTTCCTACTTTTAATGGCATTCTGGAAGCAAATACACACGCCACACAAAATGTTATAAAAATGTTTGGTCATTAACATACATAAGTAAAAACTGCAGTAGTTGTATGAACTTGGATTAAGGTAAGGTGGGGGCGCGGGGGGGTGTTTCTGGTCTGAATTCGGAGATTGCAATTTAAGGATAACTACTACTTTGATTTGAATCAGCTACAGCTAAGTCTACAGAGAAAAATGCATTGCCAATTTAACAATCCACACGTTTGGTTGGTGCTCAGTTCCATTGGACTTTTTCAAACAGAAAGAAACAACGGAATCACTACTGTCAATAAAACTTGGTACATAAACGTGTGTCCAGGTTTTATTTAAGTGAGGTAGTGTTTCTGTTATCCGAGGTCAACCTACTGATTAAACAGCATGGAAAGTCAACAGAAAAGGGTCTCGAAGGGAACTGTAAATCCAAATTCTTTCAGCTCAGAGAGGGAAAACCCATAGCAATATTCTACCTGTATACCTCTGAAAAATTCTTAAAGATTTGTAGGCAATTTCACATCAAAATAAACCAATCAGTAAAAAGCTGAAAAGAGGTATCTTTTTTCTTTGAACTTACCTTTCTAATGGTGTAGAGTGAGCTAACAATGGATATTACAGACATGATCACAATTGCTAATGCATAGTAGTGATATTCATCAGTGATCCACAATATCACACTGAACAACTGAAAAATGTAAAAAGGGTTGAGAACCTAGAAGAGTGACAGAACATTAAAGTTACACCAAAAGGTCACACGCATTCTCTGTCAGAAGAGTCAGAATCATCCTCCTCCTCCATGGAGGAGATAAACCTTTCTGTTCTTTATACATGATTTTTGTCTGTTTTGCCAAACCAATCCCTCTTTTTCACCACTTCCTCAACCCCTCAAAAGCACAGTTCTCACTAAAATAATACACGAATACATTTAAGTCTGTGTGCATTTTGCCCCTATACCTCAAAGCAAAAGGATAGGAACATCTGATGCACCTTAAGTTACAATTCTTAAATTAATTTGGATGTTATTATCTATTTCTTATTAATAAATGCACTGACACTTCAAGTTCTTACTCTGTTATTTATAGTTCAGGTTGGAGAATTTCTTTGTTCAAAAGTTTCTGTCATGCATTATTATAGCACATGGATAACAACTCAATTATTCAAATCCACCTGATACGAGGAAAATTGAACAAATCCAACAAAAGTATATGCAAGAACACATTTGATTTGATGCGTATGTTGTAATGTATAATCCCTGGTCTGATAATGGAGAACACAATCAGTCATTTTATGTTTGAAATTAACAAGAAATAAGTAAGATGAACATCCTCTCAAAGAATTATGACACATTTTCTAACATCCTTGCTAAGGCACCAGGTTGTGAACTCTGAAGAGCTTACAGCTAAGGCCTCTTAAGTTTGGAGAGCTCAAAAATAAAGATCCATATCATTTTGCTTTACAGTGCTGGGCTCTGGGGGAAGGTTTCTGTTTTACGTTATTATTTGAAGAGAAGTCCAATAATCATTGTACTTAAAGTAACTTTTAATGATATACTTTTTTTTTTTCAATTTGTTAAAGAAAAGATCTTACCTCCTTAATCAGAAGCTTAAAAATGGAAGGCACTTTCACAGCAATTTCATTTACTCCATAGAATGCTTTTCTGCATTAGAAAAGTAAAAATATCAAAAGGCAGTTAAAATTTTTATTAGAAATCTTATTCACTTCAAAGTAATTCCATTAATATGAGAACGTATAAAATATTACTTAATCTGTGGCCCCTTTTATTTACCATACTGTTTCAAAAGCTGTTCATCAAAAAACATTTACCCAGCGAGATGTTCCAATACAAAGATAATTATTTAATACTTCAATTTAAACTGTAACTTAATTTTTAGGTTCTTTCATAATCAGATTTCCCTGTAAACTGTGTATTGGTCCATGTTATTAAACATGTCATTCTGAAAGCCAATATGGGGTTCTCATTAACTTAAGCTCAAACAAGTGTTAACTCCTACCCTGCAGTAAGACGCTGTCTTCATGGGTCTCTATCTTGGTTTTATTCTTAGCATGAAGAAAGGCAAATCATGAAAGGAAAGACAAGAAACTAAGCACTGATGGGATCTGAGCTGGTTAAATTACATTGACATGAAGAAGCCCTTAAAGGAGGGTCTTAAGAAAAAGGCTTTTACCGTAGGAAGAGACACAAATTAACAGAAAATGGAACTATGAACAAGCAGGTGCTTCCATATTTTAACTCTAAGAACATCTCATTTGCAAAAAACCAGCCAGGAATGCAACAGAACCCAAACTAGAATAGTTTGGGTAGTGTATCAATAAGTTAAACGCTAATAATTAAGTACATATCCACATTTTCACAATATATATTCCAGCTTGCTCTTCACATTTAAGAACGAAGAAATCCCTGAACAATGTACCATTAAAGTTACATTTTAAAGGTTTTTTCTAGACTAAGTTCTTCTCTACCTACATACTTCAGCTGTGTCCCTTGACAGGCATATTTACACCATTAGTCTAAAATAGCATGTTAAAAAATTATCCCCCCCCCCCCCCCCAAGTTATTTTCTTTTATTTCTGGTTGACAAGAAAAGTGGGGAATACATTTAACCCCAGACAAACCAGAGACAGATCCGTGCAAGCTATGGGACACATCTGTGATACTAACTAAGCTTTTAAAATGAAAGCCGAAGTCCTGAGACGTGGGAATTTTCAGCCTGATCTTCCTAAAATAAGAAATTAGTTACAGTTTAGGCCAGGTTTGCTGCTTCCTGGCATCCAAAGTTCCTTATTAGCCATCTAGCACACTATCCCCTCTCTCACAATGACCGCTAGCCAAGGCTAGTAGAGAAAACAAGAAGCAGCAGAGTGATCTCCCTCAGTGTTCCCTTCAAGCCTTCAACAATCTGCAGCTTGAGACAAATGAGCATCTTTCCAGCTAAAGAACTTTCGATGGACTTTTCCACTGGGAATCAGTCTATTTGCCTCTGAACCCACACACACCCTTCAACAATGACAGTATGTTATGGTAACATTTATGTCACTTAAAGGCGAGTTATGTGGAAAAAATAACTACTTTGTTTTACATCAGCTGCCAAATTTCACTGTATACCTGCCAACATGGCTGAAAACGTAAGTGCTTGCTATTCTTTTTGTACACTCGCTGTATTTCAAAATGTTAAGTAGTAAATACAGTTTCAGAAATATATTCTGAATTACTTTAAGCAATGGTTCCGATTCCCATGGTCTGTGTAGTTTGAGAAAAGTAAGTCAACACAATATCGGAGTCTAGTTCCTACTCAATGTATAGGTAAGAAAAACAAGAATTTCATACATCTAACAGCCACCTTTGAAGGAAATGTAAGAGCCTGTCTGTAAACACAAACCACTCAGTTGTCTTCTAGTTTTGCCAACACTGTGAGCACAGGTAATGGAACAAAAACAATTCTTCCCTGAAATACTGTAGTATTACCTGTAATCATGCATTCCCTTTGTCAGTCCCGTGCTGTGTTCGTTGTGAATTGAAGAACAGAATGTAGATTCATCTAGACCTCTAAGTAAAGGAAAAAGTCAATGAGTTATTTAACAAACCTGATATTTAAAATGAAGTATGCAGTAATTCAAAAGAGCTAGGTCTTTGCCAAGAGTTACACTGTATTATAAAAGAACAAAGTCTATGGATTAATGTTTTTCCAGCTATTTTTGTCACAACTGCAGATACCAGTGAGATGTTAAAAGCAGTCCTCTTGTTGACACATCTTATTCTGTAAGATAGTCATATCTATTTCAATCAAAATGAAGTTACACTTCAAAATTGAAGTGAAATACTAGCATAACTAGTATTCAAAGGCCTCTAAAAAGAAAAAGTGAGCAAGTTCTATAAAACATATGAAATCAATACGGATTAATATTCCTTCAAATTATCTTTATTTGCCTCTCAGTAGTAACGGAAGCATTTTTTTAGAAAATTATTAATCAATTTATCAGACAAATCTATACTAAAGCTATTTTGCAGCATCTTATTATCAAAATTTTATCCATGACTAGGTAAAGTACAGTCTACATTTTAAACACTTCCTTTTTCTATGCTGTGAAAACAAATGCTATAATTTAGAAGATCTGCAGATAAGCAAGCACACCTGAAACATCATTATGTTTACAGCTATGGGATCATTTCAACTACCAAACTCATTAAATCAGACATACCATGCCCAATATCCAGGCATTTTCTCGTGAACATACTTTGGATGCACAGGAAAATATCATTACCTTCCAAAAGGCTTTCACAGATGACATGACAAAACCAGCACTATTCTACACAAGTCTTTTTTATAATGGACATCTATCATGTTATCTACTAAAAAGGATTCAGAGTTGTCCCAGTGAAGAAAAAACTCTTTATTGTGCATATATAGTAAAAATTATTTCCATTCTCTAGAACACAGGGAAAGCTTTGAAAATCCACACTATTGCAAAGGCTAGGACCATGTTTCCAGCAACTTCTCATAAGAGAAGGTAAAAATGTTAATGTGTTAATCTGGCCATAAGTTTACACAAGTTTCCCTAAAATTTTTCAAGTTCAAGGATTTTAAAATAACAATTTTTAGATTAATAAATACACAATTCTCTGTTAATAACTGTGCCTTTCCTCCCATTCTATCCCAAATGATTCAATTTTTCTTTTCCTGCACAAAAAGGAATATAACAGTGGGTTTAAGAAGGATCCCTAAAACTAAGTGCTTTATATGCAAATATGCATACCTATGTGTGTAATGTCCATGCAAAGACAAAGCTTCTAGCAGGATGTTATCTACTTGTTACAGTACTGTTACAGTACTGAATTCCCGGGGCATTTTAAAAAAATCCCTGTGTGCACAGTTTATTACATAAAGCACTCATCAACTCACTCTGAGATTCAGTTGACACTAGCTAAAACAAAACAGACATATGAGGTCAAAGTTGCATCCTCTTTGGCTATGTGACCAAGTCTGATTTAGTTTAAGAACAATTACACTTGCATTTCCTGTGTTTAAAACAGTGATCTTAACATTACATTATTTTTAAAAGAACAATGATATGAAACTCAAGCTCTCATAACCAAATCAGTTGCCCAAGAAATGTTAATTTGCTTCCCTTTTGTATTGTGCTAAGTCTTTAATTATGTGATCAAATTGTTCTGTCTCTGGATACTTGCATAAGTCACTGCACAGAGTGAGTCTGCTTTCATCATGCAGTATTGTGCTTAGATCACAACTACAACTGTGTTGCTTGCCTTGGGGATTTTACTACAAAGCCCTCAGTCTCATATACCATCTCTACAAATATTAACTTAATTCTCTACTATGTTATTAGGTAATACCAATTTCTGTTTTCTACATAAACTGAAGAGCAGATTAGAAGTACCTCGATGAAGGACAGATTAAGACTTCTTTTCAGAATATTTATCATAAGTTCAGCTATTATTTTGCAGGTGGTATCTAGTACTTCACTACATGATCATACCTCATTCACTTTAAAGAAAAGTTATAGCAAACTCTCATTCTTATTTGACCTTGTGCAAAAGTGACTTAGTACTCTACCAGTATCAGGTATGTCTCAGATCCAGCCGTTTCTCCTCTTTATTATCCGACTGCTAAAAAACGGTGACCAGCTCAGCTACAGTACCTGACTAAATAAGTGGTGAGGCTCAGTCATTGCTAATACATCAAACAAATGAAAGTTTAGCACATCAGCAAGAATGTGATTGAATAAATGCTCACATAACTTCACAGGCATATCTGAGATTTTTCCAGGGCTTATAAATTGGCTGAGTTATCACAAGAACATCAAAAGGCACAGTCAAACAGCCAACAAATGCCAAGTTTCAAGTCACTGCTTTAATTCTAAGGAACAACATTTTTTTCTAAACACGTGGAGTCGTATGATTTTTTTCCCATATCTGTTCTTAGCATAAAAGTATAGTTTTGAAGGTTTTAATCTCATCTGCAGGAAATATGCCCTTTGAGCAGTTTAAATTAGCAACACTATAGGCATGAAAACAGGACCCTGTAATGCAAAATGACAAGCGTCACTACCTGCACCACTGTAATTCATGGGAGGCTTAACATAAAAAAAAGCATACAAAGCTTTAATTATTTACACATGAACTGGGACACTTCCATCCTCCCAGAGGAGTGCTCTCTTTTGTAACTCCTTGTATTATGATCATTTCTTTAAATTGTTGTCATCGCTGATAACTTTCCATACTATTATCACACACTTTTTTCAAAAACATAAGAAACATTTGCAGAGTATGTTTCTTCTTACAGAAATTTTGGCTATTTTTCTTTCCTTCAGTCCCTGGTCAGTATTTTTTTTCTATATGTAGTGCTTGGACTTTTCCACACGATAGTTCAATGCAGTGAACATTGATTTAAGTTAAAAAGAGGTTGTATTTCTGATCCAAACTTCTTATTTTAACAAGCAGTTGTCAAAAACAGAGAAGCCTGCGTTCATTTAACTTGTTAGCACTATGCCAAGGCCTTATCAGTAGCATCAGATAAAAAAACTTTCTTCTTCAACCCTAACGTCATGCAACAGTGCTGCTGGATAAAAGAAAATACAGCGCATCATATTCAGTGAGCACAGCTAGTAGTGCCCACTAAAAGACGTTTTCTATCAATGCAGGAGACCTATTTTTGTTACTAGAGAGTAATAAAAGAGGGATCAAATTCAGCTCAACTGGACTAGAATGTAGCAGCAGACCTACACACAAAGGTGAGCAACGAAATATTCGGTGAATTCCCCTCTTCCTACATACTCCTTTTGGGTCTAACTCAGCAGCAATGCAAAAAATGTATGTTATTCCATCAGAAGGAAAGTTTTTAAGAGTTTATAGAGGGAGAGCTACTGTCTATAAACAGGTGCTTCGATTCTCAAATAACACTCCAAGAACAGGCAAAAAGCCTGCAAAGGCATGCAGCCTGTCACCCTATACGAATCATGCTCGATAAAGGTAGATTAAACAAATACCTTCCTTCCAAAGTCACACCAAGTTAAAATCTCACTATGGTTCAAACAAAGACTCAATGAGCTAAAACAGCTGGTCAGAATACGATACCAATTTTCACCATGTTCTTAGGCATGCTATTGTATTTTAAGAAAATGCAGTTGAAGCACAACACAAAAGAAAAAAGTATTCATACCGTACAACATCAAAACTTTGAACTGAATCATTCCAGAAATACTTCACGCTGTGATGTGTGAAATAACGAATCTGAAAGGGCAACAGACAGATATTAAACTAGCACCGCTTAACTCCTCTCTTCTGACTGACTTTATTCTGAACAGCAGTAGAAAGTGGATTTAGAAAAACTTCACTGAAAAATGAATAGTTTTTTTTTCAAAATAATCTTTCAAGGATTCCACAATTTCCAGTAACAGGTTATTGAGCAAAAGATTTGTGCTCAACCCAAAGAATGAGTTAGCCTTTTAGACAAAAGTAGCAGCTCATGTGTACTGTATTGTGTGTGTTTACTCTACATACTACTTGAGACACTTTGAAAATTAGCAAGCGTAGTATTGCAGGTTTACTTACAGGCAAATAGTTTTTCAAATCATTTTTATTCTCTTCTGCAGCAGATTCACAGAAATTAACAGCATGGCCATTTGAAACCTTGTGTATAATAGGGTTAGGATTCTGTAAAGGATTGGCTCCCAAAGAAGGCATAAGGCGAACCTTTGCACAAAACCATATCTTGAATTCATCCTTAAAAAGAGAGGGGAAAAAATGAGTTGGTTGAAACATCATTTAAACAGCATTCTACTACAATATCTGTAGCAAAATGTGTCAACAACAGATGACAGATTAGCAGAGCCATACATAACTACAGAAGATATTCTCAAGTTAATATCAGCTACCTTAAGAATACATTTTCCTTCCACAATTCTAAAAGCTTTTTGCTTTCCAAAAGTTTTTTGCTGAAAGATTTATTATTTTTTTTAAGCAATGAGTCTTGTACTTGAATTTTGACATCTTCAGCCCTTCACAATTTAAAATAGTTGTTCTATAGTAGGAGGAACTACGCAATTCCTATGCATTCAGCTGCACCCACCCTGCAACTTCAAATAACTGAGGACTTAACACAAGATCATAACCAGCAATTGTGGAGGAAGAAAAAAAATCACTTGAAATCAAACCACACTTGGGTCTGCAGTTATGCCTTAATTCAACAGATCTATCTTTCCTGAACAAGGGAGGGAAAACCTGAAAATCATGTTGTCAGGTTATATGAACAAGGTATCTGTTCTGTAGCTTTTGATGACAACAGCAATCATGTATTTAATTCTTAAAATCCAAAAGCAAAGACTTTCTTTTTGCTATATCCTCTGCAAGCAGCTGTCAGTCTTCCCATATGGGCAGCAAAGCTATATACAGTACCAAGGAGCACAGTTCTGCAGTGCTGTGAAACAAAATCATGTCTCCATTGCAGGCAAGGATTTGTATACTTTAGCAAGCAGCAAGAGGGATGTAAAACAACTGTAAACTGGGAGAAGCACACCCTCCTATAGACTTACAGTTGTTCTCAGCAGAACCACTTCACAGTCTTTAAGCGTAGTCCTTTTGCATGTTGCTTTCACACGCCACTGAGGCATCCAGTAGAGGAGGAGGAGAAGAAAGCCACCAGAACAGATCACTCCTACAGTAACTAGCACCAACTTCCAACGACACAGATCATAACCATAGATCTCCTGCATGGAAACAGAGAAACAACAAACAATGACCCTCTTTAATTGCTCTGGCTTGGGAAGCCAACGTTAATTTTTCATAAGTGCAGTATTTAAAGCGAATCGAATTTCAAAGCCATTTTCTCCTTTTTCTTTTCTGGGGGAAGGAAAGATGTAAAAAACTTAATACATGACGGGGAGGCAACAAAAAGGAGGACTGTTTTGCTCAGTCAGAAATATAAACATCAGTAAAAGCCTCAGAAAGGCAGAGCATACGCATCATTTACAACATTTCATTACAGGACCTGACTCCTCTCTCCATTGCTCCCTAAGGACTTAGGTTGCAACACAACCTACCTTAACTCTCAGTGAACAACCAAATTTTTGACCATGACCATGACCCAGCACAAGTCAACTAAGCAGTTAGAAGTAAAAGCATATTTGGTTTAATCAAATGCTGATTTTACCACATTAGCTAGTATACATAGTTTTGAATACTAGCACAGCATGAGTTTTTGTTGCTATCGTACATAGTTTTTGTTGCCAGCAGAATTTCATACTTTCAAAACAAGTATGAAAATATATTCATCAAACACTAGTTTTTAGTACAGAAACTGGCTTATTTTGCCTGCCATTTAAGAAGAAATGCTACTGTGAAACATCAGAAGCTGCAAGCTGCACTGTCAAAGGTTCTGTAACTTGCACCAGCTGGAAAAATTCTCTTCTCCCATTAAAAAACCCACAAAGTATTAAGTTTGCCTTGGTCAAAGGCAAGTACCAACTTAACCTGATGACAGCCAGGAACAGAAAATAATTCAGTGACTTACTAGAAGCTGTGTTACATTCCCGAGTTTCACATTACATCATTAGATTATATTTCCTGCCGCAAAAGGGCAATGAAGTTTCCCATTGAGTCCCACCCACATTGTTCATATTGACACCAACTTGTTGCAAATGTTTTTGTACTTTTCATTAAATGGTATTAGAAATTGTTTAAACTCCTTTCCTAAGAAAAGGCATTTCAACAAGTTCCTTTTGCAGCCTTCTCAGCTGACACAAATGAGAGACAAAAGCCGTTCTCTCTTACCCCCAAAACACTAGAGTCAGTATTCACTCCTTACCAATAAAAACAGGTGGGTGAAAGATAGTGGGAGAGGTTAATGCTTCTTTTGGGGCAAAACAAAATTATTTCTTCTGAAAAGCATTTAGTTTAGTGATCAGACCATAAGCATCTCAGTTTCATTTTTTTGTTTTACAGTGTATTTGCCTACTCTCCATATTAGAGCTGGTCTAGTGGAGAGCAGCTTTTCCTAGCAGCATGCACAAAGAAAGAACAAGGACTTCAATTCACAGGAAACTACCGTTTTTTAAAACAAAAATCCCTATATATCCCAAATATTTTCTGCTATCTCTAAAATGGGATAGAAATTTAAGGATCAGCTGCCACTATTTTCCTGTCAAAACTAACTGCTGCATCTTCCAGGAGAAATAAGAGATATCATTGCTCTAGTAGGAAGCAAAGTTTATGTGCTACCAAATACCCATAAAACTGCTTGCCATGCTTTAGGGAGTGGGTCTTATCTGCATAAATATGAATATGCAAGATTATGCAGAGTACAGTCAGATTATGGAGCATTAACCTGTTTTAGATGACAAGAAAAAAACTCCAAGATTTGGAGAAAAGAAAAAAAAAACACCAATACTTTGCTTCCATTTTCCTTTAAAAAAAAAATGGTAAGTACCAAAATCTTTTATCATTGGACTGCTGACCTCAATGTAGCCAACCCAGAACCTTTGCAAAGGCTTTCAACAAAAACATTCCCTATCCCAAGACTACACTTCTTAATACCAAAAAAAGATTATCAGGGATAACCATATAAAATTGCTTAACTCATTTAAACTGAGACAGTCCACTTCCTAATGTAATATGCCCCATTTAGAGAGAAAACCATGAAAATGTGTTTCTTTCACTATATAAAAACACATGAACAGAATTAATTACCATCTCATCCTCCTCTGCTTTATTGACAAATTTCTTTTCTTCTTTCTCCATGTTTAGTACGATATGGAACTTCTCGACTTGAGATATGGAAGACCTTTAACAACAAAAGAATTAAAAATTGAAGCAACATTACTGATTTTATACTTAAGTATTAGGTTGTTTTATTTTCTGTAAGTGCATACATATAAAACACACTGACAACATATTAATATATATCTTAAATTTGCACTGTTACTAGTTTCCAGTAGTAATGACCCAAGGAGCTCTAGTAAAGCTTTAAGATTGAACACTGGATGAATACAAGTGAAATACTGCAGAAACAGCAGGCTTTGAAGGAGGGAAAAGAGCTTGTACCAATTTAACTTGGTTACATTGTACACGCAGCAAGCAGTTTTTGGTACATTCTACAAACTTCAGGATGGAAACCTAAATTAAACCTGTAAAAAAAAAAAAGCCTTCAAGTAGGTCAAGATTACACATTTCTATCATTCTGTAGTGTAATAACTCCAGTCACATGTTTTCAGAAGCCAGGCTATCATCCACAAGGAAAGGCATTGTACCCCCAAGATGTGCATGTCTCATCTGAGAAGAAAAAAAAGTATGTGCTAAAAAACGGTTTGCATTTCTAAATCACAACATGCTTAATGGTCCGTTAAGTCTTTTCCCTTCTTTCCAATTTTTTTACCATTCAATTTGTACCAATGGGTTCATTTCTTACTGTAAATTCTTCTAGTTGCAAATCTTGAGGGGAGCTTTGAGTATAGATTATGATCACAAGTTTCATGAATAGGGAAGGGCATGAAAAAATATGAAGTGACTATGAGATGAACATATTGCACACAGATCCTTATTCCAATAGGGAAGAACTACAAACAAGAGGCTACAACATACTATGAGGCTCATCAGAAGTTTCAACATCACAAACAAAGAAAATCAAATTCAAAAAGCTAAATTTTTTGAAATTAAAACTGAATCCATTTGGGCACCCCTGTACCTGTTAATTGTATACAATTTGTAATTAATGCAGCCGTATTATATTTCCACAGGACCACCCTATCATAGTTAAAACCACTGAATAGCCAGTGCTCACCTGCCAAGGCATGGATTAACTATCATTCTCTACACTGACAATGTACAACCTTTGTTTTCATTTACTGCACACATAAATCTCTCTGAAGACACCACTTACTACCACAGCATATAAGCAGTCCTCAAGTATTAAGGATTGACTGTCATAGCACACGTAGTTACTGTAATTGTCATTTTTCAGACAGAAGGCTGTTACCAACAAAAAAAAAAAAAAAAAAAAAAATCAAGGAAGAAACCCATCCCCCTAACTTCATCTCAGCTGTCCATTGAAGGCTAGGATGCCACTATTCAAAATACTTAGTATTAGGTAGCATTATGACAAAAGCACAACCGTTACCAAGCTCTTTGCTGTCATTAACTCCCCAGTATTTTCACAAATCGAATCACCAGACTTCAAGTCAGATCCCCTCAAAGCCAGCCCCTGGATCCACGCACTTACATTGAGCAGCAATGCCAACTTCAAAAGGTCCTTCCTCCCAATTCCTGCAGTTTATCAACATCATCACATCCTCACGTGTTTTCTGCAAGCTACCACCTCCTTTCCAATTAAGCCAACAAATGAGGAAGGAACCTAACACAAAAGGTTTCTGTTGCTGCCCAAATCTGGGTCTCCTCAGAAATCTACCCCCACTGCTGAACAAGGTCCTAGTGGGATAAACACACAATCGAATCAAAGAACGGCATCACAACACAGGGCTCGGTCACAGGTGAAAAACAACTCAGCACTTCATAAATTGAATGCTTGATGCAGTTTGTATTTTGTTCTGTATCGAAGGAAGCAAATTTGATAACAACCGTCTTCTTTGATAGAAACACCAGCTCACATGCTCCTTGCTTTATTAAGCTGAAAATTTTCTATTACTATCCAATACTGAACTATGAATACCTTCCTTACTGCAGATTAATTTGGAAATCAAGCCAAAAGATGTGCACCACTGATACTTCCTTATCTGTTGCACAAATCATGTAAGTTCTAAAACACTTTTTTGTTTAAATTGCCACTCTTCTTTTTATCCTGGGAAAGATACATATATGCAACCAGTTAAAATCTGTCCTAAACCTACACAGGATTGCTAAGAAAGCTCCCGAGAGCAATCTTTGAATTAACAACAAACAACTTTCTGTACACTATACAAATCACATTTTCAATCAAGAAGCCATGCAGCCAGAAAAAGTTTTGTGTATTTACAGAATTATACTTCTAATAGAGTTCACAGCTCCATGACAGAATTACTAGATTTATCATATTTGAACTAGTCTGTTCTTAAACAAACATGCATTTCCCCACTACAGTGTACTGCAACATCAAAAAAAGTGCCTGCAGGCAAAACTCCAATCTTGATGAACATATCTAGCAACAACTACACTTGATACAGGAAAGCACCAGGCAGCAAAATAAATGCAAACAGCTTCAACATCAATAAATCTCAACTGAGATTTCCATATGGCCAACGCATCAGAACAGGCTCCTTATGGGACACCACAGCAGCATGAGAGAATTGCAATTGCCTTAATTTAGGGCTGTTCAACAGCCAGGAAGGAGCATCAAGTTGTCGGTCTGAAGAAGCACGAAGGGAAATCTCAGCACTGAGAGCACCAGCAATAACAGCTGGGTAGAATCACACAGGGGGTACATGAGAAGCATTAGGAGGCTATTTTTGACTCACATCATTAGCTCCATCTGCATTATTTTACACAGACTCATTTACTGAGCGACCTTCAACTAACACACACATTCTCAATATTTCACATACTGCTTGTAATTCTCCATATTAAACTCAAATTCAAATCTCTAAACTTAGAAAACATTAGAGATCTTTTCTTAGTTGCTGGGTCATGAAAATCATTACTATTCAGCAACAAAGAACAGCACTGTTTCTCCAATCTTATCCCTTTTGGCACATCATCAGCCCAAGCTCATCATCAAGAGTTCAAATGCATAACTACTTTGGGTTTGTTTCTCACCGCCCTGCTGAAAGTTGAGGTTGAACACCACCAGCATGGGCTCCACATGGTTGCCCTCTTTGGAGGTGACTTCAGGCTGCTGGGTCAGACTGAAGAAAGAAGTAGCAGCATCTCACCAATTCAGAAGAGATTTTAGCAATCTGCATTTGATCTTTACTTCTTTCTATAATATGGTGGGAAATTAAAACATTTCAATACTTAATTAAATATTTAATTAAATAAATATAAGCCCCAGACTTCTCAGACTACAAGGGAATACAACATTTTACTAGTGCTAGAATTGAAGTGAGGTTGAAATTCACTCACAAGAAACAATGTGGACTCAGCCTCTCTCCGGCACAGATTCCTTGGAGTGAACAGCCAGACAAGTCCTCTCCCCCTTTAACAAACTGAAAATAGCATCCAAAAAGCACTATTTATTCTTTTTAAAGAAAGGGGCCAAAAACAATGGAAATGGCAAAAATTACTGTCACTCCACTTATATAATTTTTACTTATTGAGCTACTATTGTATAGCTAAGCATATTCTAGAGTCAGAAAAGTAGGAAGTATCAAAAGGGTCTGTAAAAGAAATGCTGTTTGCCACTGAGACTAAGAGAATGAAATCATTTGCAACATTTTAGAACATAGGTCTAAATTTAACAAATGTTATAGCATCAGCTGAACAGTGTCTGAATTGTACTTCTAAGAGCATACATTTGAATCACAATCTGCAACTTTGTAAAAAAAAGTAAATAAAAATTAAGTTAACCTGCATTTGCTATTTGCCTCTGTCCTGAATAGTATATAGTTATGAGTAGGGCAGCACTTGCAGCCTCAGATTTAAGTCGATATTATTTTGGAACTAAAGTAGATCACAAATTGGATCACTGAAGAAATTACAGCAGTGTACAGACCTCAAAACTACATGCATCCCCCACAGTGAAGAAAATGTTACACCTTTTCTGAATTATCTGAATTACACCAATATCTATTTTTTGATCTATCCTGACTACACAACCAGGATACCAAGCAGTTCTACCAAAATATTTATAAGCAATAAACATTCGTAGCAACAGTATAAAAGGTGCAAGTGAACTCATGGCATATTTATTAAGGTAAATGTTGTTAAAGAATACAGTAAGACTCAATCAGTATGCCTGAAGAATTCTGCAAGCCACACTTTTGAAGGACTACTAGCATATCTGAAGTCAGTTTTCCAATAGCTGGCATAATTAACAAACTACTTCAGTACAACTTTTACCCTTCAAGTTGGGTTTGGGGGTTGGGAAGCAGAGAACTTCCCTCTGTTCTCCTCAACATTTGTCCCAAGTCCATAATCCTTAAATACTAATTCTGCTTTAGCATACATACATTGTTGCCAGCAGTTTATTCTTCCAGTTTTCCAGTTTAACTGCAAGTTTCTTAATTTCAAGAGAAAAATTCCACGGTCTGTAAAGACTACAGCTACAAAAGAAGAAACTTTTGAGAACTCCTGCAGTCACTGGGTAATTTAAATACCAAGTTTCTCAGATGAAAATACAATTTTGACAGCTTAAGTCTTTAGTAAAAATCCATGTATGGATATGCATTAAAAAATTATCAAGTTGTTACATATGCTTATGCTGCCATCATTCGTCTGCTTAAAATATGCAAGTAAATAAACTTATAAACTTCTATCTTAAACATTCCCTATTTTATTCTTTTCAGTTATTCATAAAAATCCTGAGATAACTAAAAGAGTTTCTCTTACCAACAAGCAGTCCAGCAGCTGTCCTCTGCACTTGCTTTTGTTATCATGAGTTAGTGAGGCAGTTCTTAATAACTGAGACCCTATCTACAAGGGAAGTCCTGACAAATGAACTATTTTGTCTAAAATCTAAAAAAAGTCTCCAAGGGCTTTTCAAACTGTTATCAAAAGATTAACATATCAAAGAAAATTTGGCACTGCTTGGAATGCCTTTTTTTTTTTTTCCCTCTTCCCTCCAGTGTGGCCGAACAATTGCAAGACTGTGGCTGGGCTGGCGCGGAGGCTGCACTTCCAGGC